CGGGCAGGACCCAGACCCCACCCCCTGGCCACAGTCAGCACCGTGACCCCCACCTGGCCAACGGCTCTAGAGACAAGCATTTCCTGGCGGCCCTGGGAGCTTGGAACGTGCCGCCCACCCTGGGGGACCCCCACGCTCACTGCCCACGTGGTCTCTCCTCTCTCCACTGGCCAGAGCACTGGTGGCTGCCCTTCACAGACGGCTCAGAGAAACAGAGGCCCGCAGCCCAGCTGCCTCGGAGCTGCCCTGCCTGCTGCCCGGGTGCCCCCTGCCCAGCTCTCACCCCACTCCGGGGGGGGTCTCCTCTATGATATGAGTCCTTCCCCAGGGAGGAGACCTGTTGTTCAAAACATGAGACTGCCTTCGTATTCCTATATTAAAGAAACATCAGCACAGCGATACTCCTGCACCTTCATCAGAATGGCTGAGGCAGAACAGCGGACAGACGCAAGTGCTGACTAGGCTGTGGGGAGCCTGGAGCGCTCCGCACGGCGGCCGGGGGTGGCCTTCATGCCTGTCCTGCAACCAGGGACTCTCCAAGGGAGCATGGCGACCAGGACGGGGCACAGCCCCTGCGGACCCGCCAGGAATGGTGACCAGGACGGGGCAGTGGCAGAGCCCCTGGGGACCCACCAGGACCCGAGGTCGGGGTCGGGAGGCAGGACATGAGCAGCAGAAAGGCCGTGATGGCTGCGTGAGGAGTCCCCGGTGAGGAAGACCACGGAGCAGCAAGGAGAAGGGACCAAGGTGCCCCGAGGGTCTCCCGCTGCCCAGGCAGCCCTGGGCTCCGCATTCAGAGCTTCTGTTTCCCGCCGGCTGAGCCTAGGGGATCATCTCTCCTTGGCAAGCCTCAGCTGCAGCAGCTCAAGGGTTAGGCATGAGCACTGCACACAGCGCTCGCTAAGAGGTGTGAAGCAGGAGTCGGGGGGGGCCTGGGTAGAGCTGAAGACCCCTGGATGCCAGACAGACCCCTGTTCTCCCCATGCGACCTCCCGTTCCCTTTGGGACCCGATCCAAGTCTGTACACAGCACACTAGGCCTAGGGAAACATGAGCTCCCTTCCAGTCCTGCCGGGGATGGGTCACTGGACCAGGTGCACGCCTGGATGAAGGGTCAGCTGCATCTGGCGGGAATCTGGCTGACAGAGCCATCCTGTCCCCGAGGCCAGGGGCCACCGCGGGGGATAAACAGGAAGCCCCGCTCTCCCCTGCCCCNGCCCAGCTGGCCCTGACGTCCACTGTTTCTCCCGCCCAGGGGCACGAGCTGACCCTGGGCCTTGGGCTGGGTCGGCGTTGGGGTCTGGGCCACCTTCTGGGTGCGGGCAAAGCCCGACTTGGCCCCTAGTACACTCAGCAGGACACACGGCGCTTCTGGGCAGCTGGGCCCTTGGGTGAGAGAGCCAGGGGCGAGAGCAGGCCACGGGGGGCTGGCAGGGAAGAGATGGGGGTGAGCCCCCCAGACCTGGCCCGCATTGCTTAGGGGCCAGCCCCTCCTCTGCAGTCGCAGCCACCCCACTGGCTGGCATCTCACCGGACCCCCTGGAACAGATGGGGAAACTGAGGCCAGGAGACACGAAGGTCCTGTGCTGACCACAGCTGGGCCCACAGGACACCCTCCCAGGGGAGCGGGGAGAGAGCAGTCCGGGCTGACCGCCAAGACCCCCCGCCCCGCCCCAATAAGGGTGAGCAGGTTCCCTCCTGCTCTCAGCACTCCGGGGGAATGTCCCGAGCTGTCCCGGCTCCCTTCTTGACCAGGACGTCAAGCTGGGTGGGGTGGAGGGAAGGAGGGCTGAGAGAGGGGCTCAAGGCCAGGGCACTGAGGGTGTCCTGGACTGTGGGTAGGTGAGTGCTAAGCTCCGGGCAGCACTGAGATCCGAGGATGGCGGGCTGGGGGGCCCTGCTCACCCGGGGTGAGCCTCTTTCCCCCTTGGGCCTCAGTCTTCCCATCCTTATGCAGATGGGGCCGAGCCCAGCTGGCCCTGACGTCCACTGTTTCTCCCGCCCAGGGGCACGAGCTGACCCTGGGCCTTGGGCTGGGTCGGCGTTGGGGTCTGGGCCACCTTCTGGGTGCGGGCAAAGCCCGACTTGGCCCCTAGTACACTCAGCAGGACACACGGCGCTTCTGGGCAGCTGGGCCCTTGGGTGAGAGAGCCAGGGGCGAGAGCAGGCCACGGGGGGCTGGCAGGGAAGAGATGGGGGTGAGCCCCCCAGACCTGGCCCGCATTGCTTAGGGGCCAGCCCCTCCTCTGCAGTCGCAGCCACCCCACTGGCTGGCATCTCACCGGACCCCCTGGAACAGATGGGGAAACTGAGGCCAGGAGACACGAAGGTCCTGTGCTGACCACAGCTGGGCCCACAGGACACCCTCCCAGGGGAGCGGGGAGAGAGCAGTCCGGGCTGACCGCCAAGACCCCCCGCCCCGCCCCAATAAGGGTGAGCAGGTTCCCTCCTGCTCTCAGCACTCCGGGGGAATGTCCCGAGCTGTCCCGGCTCCCTTCTTGACCAGGACGTCAAGCTGGGTGGGGTGGAGGGAGGGAGGGCTGAGAGAGGGGCTCAAGGCCAGGGCAATGAGGGTGTCCTGGACTGTGGGTAGGTGAGTGCTGAGCCCCGGGCAGCACTGAGATCCGAGGATGGCGGGCTGGGGGGCCCTGCTCACCCGGGGCCCTCAGCCAGGTGTGTCCCCGGTCGCTGCTCGGGTCCTCCGAGGCACCCGCCCAGCCAGCATCACAGCCACTGGTGCACTGCCGGAAGGAGGGACCTGAGGGTCTGGCCTGGGGGCTGGAGCACCTGGAGCGCCCAAGGGAGCACCCTCTGTGGCCACCTAGAGGCTCCTGCACTCCCCCCACAACGCCATCCCCGGCCTCAGGAGGCCGAGGGGGCCAGGGAACACCTCTAGCCCTGCCTTAGTGAAGGCCACAGAAGTGGGACCAGGGGACTTTCACCCCTGGAGCAAGGAGCTCACTGCCCCATTCCTAGAGAAGGCTCTGGGCTGATGTCTGCCCTCCCTGTCTCCCCTCACCAAAGCCACTCAGGGCACCAGGAACCCAGAGAACAGGCTGTTCTCAGACCACCCAGCTCCCTCACCCATCCCAAGCCCACCATGGCTGCTCCCAGCCCCGGGCCCCGGCACACACGTCCGAGGGCCCAGGAGTCACAGGACAGACAGGCCGTCTGCGGGGCCACACTCCCATGGCCCCGCCAGTCTGGTGAGACCCTGGCCTCAGGAGGGCGCTGGGTGCCAGGCATGTCCATCACACGTGGGGGCCGTCGGGCCCCAGAGTCACCAGGCGGGCCCCAGCAAAGTCTGCGGCTGCTTCAGGATTAGACCCTGAAGTCCCCGGGGAGCAGCTCCCCCAGCCCTGCCCCAGCCTCCCGGCCGGCCCCCCAGCCCCCCTCAGCCTCCTGTTTGTTCGCTGACAGATCCCGTTATCAGCGGGCAGCACACACAGGAAGTCCGGCCGGGAAGGGCCCATCCCAATCCCGATTTACACGGGACGGAGCATAAAAAGCCGCCCTTCCTCGTCCCGGGAGGAGCCTCCCTGCCCCGAGGCAGCTGTCCCCATGGCCCAGGAGCAGGCTCGAGCAGACTGGACAGGCGGGCGGCCTCCAGAGGCGCCTCGAGGCGGCGGGCGAGGGGCGGCAGGGCCCACCCCTGGCCCAGGGAGGCGGCAGAGGTGGCCATGGCTGAGCCAGGGCGCGGGCAGCAGCAGGTACGGCAGGGGCAGCCCTGCAGGGACAGGGCGCAGGCAGGACGGGGCGAGTGCCCTCAGCAGGCTCCGCTGACCGCGGGCACCTGTGGGCTGAGCACCGGGGGCTCTCCGCTCCGGGGCCACCTCATCATCACCCCTACTGGTGCCATCCTCACCTTGGCCAAGGGCACCCACAGGGGCGGCCCGGTCTGGACTCCAACCTGGCCTGCTCCACCCCCATACTCGGCGCTGGGTGGCCCAGCAGCTCCGTGACCTGTGGAAGGGGAGCTGGTGCAGCGGTGACCCTGCCACCAGACCCCCTCCTGGGCCGCCCTGCTCTCCCGGGGAAGCCCCTGGGGTCGGCAGCAGCAGCCCCCCCCCGGCCCTGCCCCACTGACCCCTCTTCTTTGGGACCTGTGTGTCCCAAGGGCATCCCCCACGGGTGGGCAAACACCCCAAGGGTGTCGGGGATGGGCACCAGAGGGGAGACAGGAACCCCAAAGCCAAGTCTGCAGCCAGGATGGGCTGTGTGGGGCTGGCTGGGGGTCGGGGAGAGGGACCACTTGGTAGGGCACAGTGTGGGCATTCGGGGGTCCCCCTGGCACCCTACAGGAGCCTCCTACCAGAGCAGCATAGGTCCCCAAGGGAGCACAGGGACCCCCGGCCCCTCCCTGTCCTCCCCAGCCATCTGTATGACGAGCATCCACGTTCCAGCGGAGAGCGCAGAGGCTAACCCACCACCCAGCTTGGCAGCCGAGCAAGGACCAGCCCATCCAGCGCTCCAGGCCTCCCCTTTTTGGCTCAGGCAGGAGGTCAAAGGGTCAAGTGACCAGCCTCAGGGGCTGGATGGGGGCAGGGGACGGAGCAGGGCAGCTTTCCCCTCAGTCCCCCCAGGCCTGGCCCGGAACTCTTTACTGCCTGGGACCGCCTGCTGGGGTTGGGGGGAAGAGACCCCTCCAGTGGCAGGGCGCCCTCCCCCCCTTTAACCATCCTAGCATTCCAGCAGCGGCTTCCCCAGCCGCCCTCAGAGCATCTTCCAGGGGCTTCCGGGCCCCCTGGTCCAGGAAGGGGCTCCCGTCCAGCCACCTCCGGCCTCTTCCTTCTCCTCCTGGGCACCAAGGGAGGCCTGAACCGGATGCCCTGGAGCTGCTGGCTCTGCCCGAAGGCCCCCTCCCCCTGTACCCACAGGACGCCCACCCAGCACCCCGGGCTGTGCAGAGAAACTTTCTGTCTGGGGGTCTCAGGACCCCCCGGCAACGAACACACCCAGGCCAAGGGTGTGGGCAGAGCTGAGTGGCCATCCGAGGGTGGGGGTCTGCAGGCCAAGTGCAGGCTGAGGGCCCTCAGCGGCACAGAGGCTGGCCCATCCCCCCACTTGCCCTGGCATGTCAGGATGATCAAGGCTATGTGTCTGACCCACAGACCCCGGCACCAGGAAGGCACGGGCGGCCCCCACCACCCAGAAGAGCAGCTGCCACCAGCGTCTGGGGCATGAGGGAGCCCCCTTCCCCAGGTGAGTGCCCTGGGCAGCAGCAGGGGGCCTGGCCCCGCCTGGGCACTTAGGTAAACAGGGCCAGGGTTCGGGTTCCAGGGAGACACTGCTGAGACGGGCAGGCCCAGGGAGGGCTGTGATAAGCCCGGTGCACAAACGACAGAGTTGCCAGGAGGGCCGGCCGCCCCACACCTGGTCCCCACTGTGCCAGCCGCACGGTGGGCCCTGCTGCCCACTGCACCACCCGGGGCTGCTTCAGCCCACGTTGCAAACGTGCAAAGGGGCCTGGACAGGAGAGGGGATGGGCCTGGGAGCCCCCGCGGTGACCATGCAGTCAGGGGACTCCTCGGGGGCCTGAGGCGCACTCGAGGGTGGTCCCAACTGTCCTGAACAAAGGCAGAGCCCGGTGGAAGACCCGCAGGGCCCCTAACCTGGCACAGTGGCCAGAAGCCAGGCTCAGCGCACACCTAGGAGCCAGTAGGGCGCTGCTGAGGCCGCCACCCCCATCTCCCCACCCCCATCTCTAGACGTCTCTGCCCCTGGGGGTCACTGCCGTTCACCCCACGTGCGGCTGCGGAGCAGCCGTCGCCTTCAGCCAGCCCCTGGGGACCTGACCCCCCGGCTGCGATGGCCATCCCCGGGAGTAGTTGCTCGGCCTGAGGGGGTGGAGAGCTAGCTACCCGCGGCCCGCGTGGGCTCTTGCCTCAGGGCACCTGGCCGCAGCCTCAGCCCTGCGTCCCGTGGAGCGGGCTGGGAGGGGCGGCAGCGATCGGGGGCGGGCTGTGCGTCAGGAGCCCCGGTTCTAGCTGACTCACTGCCCGGCCCCGGGGGCGCCGTTTGCCGCGGAGCCTCAGTTTCCCAGACCGCAGGGAGCCCGGAGGTGAGCGGGCCCAGAGCGCCGGGCTCTGCCCCGCGGGCACCGACCCCCAGCCCGGCCCCCAGGTCTGGAGAATGGGCCCAGCGGCCTTGGCAAAGGGCGCCCCCTGCTGGTGACGGGTGACCCGGGCCCGGCCACGGGGTGAGGGGGTTCCCTGGGCGGGGTGGGGGACGCCGCGGCCCCTTATCCCCCTATCCGGACCCTGCGGCTCCCCCAGGGTTTGGCCCGGAGCCTCGCGGGCCCGGGACCCCGCAACCAAGGCCAGCTGTACCCCGCGGTGGCCGGAGGGGGTCACTTCACTGTCGCTCCCGCTCCCCACGGTGCAGGGGGGAAGGGGAGGCGTGGGGTGAGCGGTGGAGAGGGCGCACCCCCAGGGAGGCATCTCACCTCTCGTCTCCGCATCCACCACCCCCGGTCCTGACGTCCAGAGCACCCCACACGGTGGAATGGGGGACCCAGGGTTACCGCCCTGCAGTCGAGTCAGGCCCCTTGCTCTGCGGACTCAGTCTTCGCGGGGGTGGCGGCTGCGCGGTGCAGCGCGCCCCCCGCACCCGCGCCTCGGGGCAGGTTGGGGGCAGGCTCCTGCAGACCCTCAGAGGGGATGGAGCAGTATTGCTTGTCATCCTGGAGGCAGCGCAGGTCCCCCTGCCCTGCCGCCTGCCTGCCCTGGCTCCGCTCCCCTCCCCTCCCCGTGGGGCTGTAACTGCAAAGGGAAACCAGACTGCTGGCCCCCAGTGCAGGAGGCCAGGGCCAGCCGCTTCCTCCGGGCTAGGAGAAAAGCATGACTTTCAAAAATCCAGTCTCTCCTTTGAAAAAACACTTCCTTCCTAACGAGTTTTCCATCAGTAGCGGAGGTGCTGGGTGGGTGTTTGTGGGGGACAAGTACATGTGCACGAGGTGTGGGTGACCTCAGGGTCTGCCAACGCTGGGAGGCCCCTTGCCTGGCGCTGCCAGCCCACCGGCCCGCCTCTGCCTTCCCGGGGCCCACTCCCAGGGCCACCTGTCCCCCCTCATTTCAATTCTTGCCGGGAGTGCCAGGCCCCCGAGTGTGTCCCTAACAGGGTGCCCCCCTGCAGAGTTCATCCCCTGAGCCACCTGACTGCAGGATATACCCCAGCCCAGAAACTGCCAGGAAGCAGCCATCCCCTGCCGTCCCCAAACTAGATCCAGCACCTCAGTTGCCAGCTGCAGCCTCTGCCTGCTCGGCCAGCCAGCCCTCCCCTCTCGGGCCCCCCACAGAGAATGGGGGGGGTGGCTCGCAGGAAGGACCCTTGTGCAGCTCTAGGGCCGGGTGGTGCAGCGGGTGAAGGCCTGGACCGAGCGCCCAGCTGAATCCCAGTGTGGATACAGGGCTCGGCGATGCTCGTGGTGGTCCCTGTCTATGGGACTGACCGTCAGAGCCGGAGGAAACTGGGTTCCAGGGAGGGAGGCGACTGTACCCGGAGGCTGCTGCCCGCCCCCCGCACACACACAGGCTCGGCTCCTTCCGGGGACCCTGGGGGGACCTCAGATGGGGCGCCGGAGCAGGGGAGCAGAGCGCTCCCAGACCCGTGGCTGCACACAGCGACGGCAGCCCCGCTCCAGTCCCCTTGGCTTGTCACTCGGGGACCTTAGTTCTGGGCTCGGCTTTCACCCCAGAAATTGCTCTCTGGCCTCCCTGACTCCCACCCACTGCCAGGACCGGGATGTGATCGGCTCCACTGGCAGGCGGGTGCTGCTCCAACCCCCCACCATCCGGGCCGTTGCAGCCGCTGTCCTGGGAGCTCTGGAGGCGGTTTGCACCGCCGGTTCAGGCCCCAGCATAGGCGGGACCCCTCCCAAGGGCAGGCCCCGGCCCCACTCCAAGGAGGACCTCCTGCCTGCCGGGCACCTACACCCCCAGGCCCCCAGGCCTGGCACGTGAGGTCCCCGAAGGCTGCCAGGGCCAAGCCAGCTAGGGTCAGTTTCAGGCCTGCCATGGACGCCCCATGTACAGACCAGGGTTTGGGGCACAAGCCCAGCCAGGGGAGGGAGGGCTGGTCCCCCCTTGGCTCCCCCTTCCCGGGTGAACTTGACCGAGCCCAGCAGGGTCCAGGCGCGTCTCTCCCCAGGCGAGGGCGTCAGCTTCCATTTCTAGACCCCGGATGTCCTGGCCCTTCTGTGGCCCGAGGGTGGGCTGTGTGTGGCTGGTGAGGGCCAGCCTCCTTATTCAGGAGGGCGGGGGGAGGGGAGCTGGCACTGGCCGTGGGGGTTCCCCTGCTGCGGCGAGAGGTCCCAACAAGCGGGTGAGCCGGGCAGGCGTCCGAGCCGAGGGGACCGTCTCCCCCGTGGTGCCGGCTCGAGGGCGGCCCTGCAGAAGGACTTCACATGGCTGCGCCCTGTGCTCCAGGCCACCTCGAGGAGAAGGCCATTCCACCTGGAAACTCGGGCCATGTGGGGCTCCCAGGAGCTGCTTCCGCTCTGGTTCCTGGTCCTGGCAGCAGGCGGCATGGAGCACGTCTACCGGCCTGGGTGAGCCGGGGCTCGGGGCCACGGGGTGTGCAGCCAGGAGCCCGGGGGCAGCCCCCAGTGTCCTGCGGGCTGGCGTTTCCCTGCGGGCCCTGCTGAGGTGCTGTTGGAGAACCCCCTGCCTGGGTCCCTGGCTCCCCTGGGCTGCGGAGCTGGAGGGTCCCAGCCCTGGGAGCCCCTGCTGACGCCCTGGCCCCGTCCGCGCCCCCCACAGACGCAGGGTGTGTGTCGTCGGGGCTCCCCGGGGCCCTGTGTCCGAGTCTTTCGTGCAGCGTGTATACCAGCCCTTCCTCACCACCTGCGATGGGCACCGAGCCTGCAGCACCTACCGGTGAGCCCCCACACCCCCCGCCCACCACACGCGAGCCCTGGGACCGGCAGGGCCCCCGGAGGGAGGCCGAGGCCCCGAGCAGTGAAGGGCCTTGTGGAGGCCAGGTCCGAGTGTGTGCTGGAGTCATGTGTAACCTGGGCGGCCCCAGACTCAGGAAGTGACTGCCGTGGCTGCGAGAACCAGCCACTCCAGGGGTGGCCGGTGCGTTGGCGCCCCCACCCTCATTGTAGAGGGGTCCGCCACCTTGTCTGCTCCCCTCCGCTTTGGGGACACTCCCACCCACCCCCAGCATCGTTGGCTGCGAGATTTTTCCCACTTGGCTCCCTGAAACCTGCCTCTTCCTGGTCTTGCCCTCTGAGCCCCAGGGGGCACCCCCTCCCCTTGGTAGCCCCACAACAGTTACAGATGGAGATCCTTCCCTCCTGCAAGACCCAGCATGTCCCAGTCTGAACCAGCATGGGCTGGCGGGCAGGAGGTGGAATCTCTTGTTCTTTGCTTTGGGGATGTGATGTGGTTGGGAAAGATTCTATTTCCCGTGAGGTTCTTAAGGACCTCTGGTGGGGAACGGGGACAGGGTGGGAAGCCCCTTTCCCTCAAGGCCTAGGCAACCCCCCCCCAGAATAGGACACTCTCCCCGAGGCACCACCTCTATCTGCTCTACCCCAGGTTTCGCTGGGCTCCACCAAGCCTGGGCGTCCCGCTCCACACAGCAGCTGGGGGCAGGGAGGCGGCTCGGGCGGTGACCCTGAGGTGCCCTCCCCAGGGGGAGAGACCCTCTGGGGGCACACCCACTGACCTTGTCCATGCTGGGGGAGATCGCTCGTGCAGCTCCCGAACCACACGGGGCCGGAGCCAGCCCGGAAGGCAGGCGGGTGGGGTGACGGGGTGCGGAAGCCAGGCCCCGGGGGTGGGGGGACCTGGTGTCAGCACGGAGCCTCTGTCCCCCCACCGCCGCCCCGTGAGGGCCACAGGCCCTTCTGAGCCGCCACCCCCCACCCCACAGGACCCTCTACAGGACCGCCTACCGTCGCCACCCCGGGCCGGCCCCCACCCGGCCTCGCTACGCCTGCTGCCCTGGCTGGAAGCGGACCGGCGGGCTGCCAGGGGCCTGTGGGGCAGGTGAGCGCCCGGAGCGCCCCATGTCAGGGAAGCGGAGCCCAGCAGAGCAAGAGTGGGTCCTGCATGGCACCCACCCCCTGGCTGCAGCCCGCCCCTGCGGCGGGGCCCCGGGCACCCTCCTGGGTCGCTGACAGGCCTCCCCACCCCGACAGCAATATGCCAGCCACCATGTCAGAACGGAGGGAGCTGTGTCCAGCCTGGCCGCTGTCACTGCCCTGCAGGATGGCGGGGCGACGCCTGCCAGACAGGTGAGGCTGGCACCCGGCCAACCCCACGGGTCCTGGCAGCCCCGAGGGGGGGTCTTGAGGGGGCTCAGGGTGGGTGCTCGTGCCTGACACTCCCTTTCCCGCAGATGTGGACGAGTGCCGCGCCGGAGGGGGCGGCTGTCCCCAGCACTGTGTAAACACGGCGGGCAGTTACTGGTGCCGGTGTCGGGAGGGCCACTGGCCATCTGTGGACGGGGCAGTCTGCCTGCCTGAGAGAGGGGCCCCCAGGGTGACCCCAGGCCCTGCGACAGGTAAGGTGCCGTCTAGATGCCACTCCTGCCGCTGTGTCTGGGGGTGAGCATGGTGGGCCCGGGGGGTGGTGGTGATGGGGGGGTCCTGGAGGCAGCCTGCATGGTCGCTTCCCATGGGGACAGGGGTGGGGGGGGCCTTAGCTCAGCCGCCACTGCCCAGGGTCCCTTCACTGAGCAGCCAGAGACACAGCATCCCTGCTGGTGACGGGACATTATTACTTTTGGTACGCGCTGTGACACTTCAAACTCGTACCGTGAGTAATAATGCGCCGTCAGCAGCCCGGCACGGAGCGCGCGTGGACGTCGGCCCAGACCACCCTGAGCATGGCGGTGGCATCAGGGACCCTGGCCCCCAGGCGGGCAGGCATGAGTCCCAGGGCCACCTCGCGGCCCTGGAGGAAGGCAGGGCCTGGAGCGGGGTGGGGGCAGGACTCAGCAGGGCAGCAGCCAGAGCTGGAACTTGGTCCCGAGGGCCAGGGCCCACGCCGGGAGGCTCCCCCCGACCTGCATCGGGCTGTGAGGCTGGCCCAGGGTGGGGGGCGCGGGGCGGGGCGCCGGAGCTCCCTGACTCCGCAGCTGCCCTCCCCAGGAGCAGACAGTGAGGTCAAGGAAGAAGTACAGAGGCTCCAGTCAAGGGTGGACGTGCTGGAGCAGGTGAGGCCCGGGCTGGGTGCCCCAGGGTGGGCGGGGGGGCCTCAGCCTGGGAGTAGGGCTCTGTGAGACCCGGGCTGGGTTCCCCGGGGTGGGGAGTGGGCCTCAGCCTGGGAGTAGGGCTCTGTGAGACCCGGGCTGGGTTCCCCGGGGTGGGGAGTGGGCCTCAGCCTGGGAGTAGGGCTCTGTGAGACCCGGGCTGGGTTCCCCGGGGTGGGAGTGGGCCTCAGCCTGGGAGTGGTCTGGGCACCAGGCCCCGCGGACGATGTCTGGGACCCCGCGGAGACGAGCCAGAACCTCGGTCCAGTCCCTCCGCTGCCTTTGTCTCTCAGGGACAGAGTGCCCTGAGGCCTCCCCACAGGGTTCTTGACCTGAGACCCTCTCAGAGGCCCCTGTCTCCCCTCCCTCAGCCCTTCTGACTGGGGGTCCCAGGCTTCGGGGACCCTTGGCCGGGCAGGCCTGTGAGTCACCTGTGGTCCCGGCATAGCAGCCCCCTCTGGTGGACACTGCGGGGCCCTGCAGCTGGACCTGGGTCTCAGGGTTGGCGGTGCCTTACGGCCACCCTGTTGTCCTTAAATCCTTACGGAACGGACAGGGCGAGGGGCTGGCCCAGGGTCACACGGGTCCCCCCCCGGCTCCCCGGGGTCTTGCCAACCCCACAGAAGCTGCAGCATGTGCTGGCCCCACTGCACAGCCTGGCCTCGCGCGCCCTGGAGCATGGGCTCCCTGACCCAGGCAGCCTCCTGGCCCACTCCCTCCGGCAGCTGGACCGCATCGACTCTCTGAGCGAACAGATATCCTTCCTGGAAGAGCAGCTGGGCTCCTGTGAGTGCTGTGGGCCCCGTGACCTCCCCCCAACACACACATACAGCCTAGGACCCCTGCTCCCACCCAGAGGTCAGAGGGTGTAGGGCAGGGCCACCATGGGCTGAGTGGGCAGGTCTGGTTGGGCCGGAAGGTGCTGAGAAACGGTGACCTCTGACCCCATCCCCACCCACACCCCCCATCCACCCACAGGTTCTTGCAAGAAGGAGGTGTGACAGGCCCACCTGCCCAGTCCTGGCTACCGAGAGCCCGGAGAGACTCTCCTCACCCCGCCCCACCTCTGCTGACCACGGAGGCCCCGGGGCCCATTGCCCCCCTCCCCCAGGGCAAGGCGGGGTGAAGGTCGTCCTGTGTGAATCCAGCCCCAGCCAGCCAGCCCCCTGCACCCCGGCCGACTCTCGGGGCCTGTGGGCCCACGGCCGAGGACGGTACGAGGCGCCCTGCCCAGGGCCTGGGTCCTGCGCCCCTCGCTGGGCAGCCCTGTCCTTTGTGAGAATAAAATGAGACTTGAGCCATTGTGTCCATGAAGGCATCTCGGGAGCGTCCTGAAGCTGACGGGCCTCCCCCAGGCCAATAGGCATGCGCTGGGAGAGAGGCAGACAGCCCTCCCCCACCCCCGGCCCCCCGAGACAGGGTCTTGGTGCTGTCTCTCCAGTTTGTGGCTCAGCTAGTAAAGAATGTGCCTGCAGTGCGGGAGACCTGGGTTCGATCCCTGGGCTGGGAAGATCCCCTGGAGAAGGGAACAGCTACCCCGCTCCGGTATCCTGGACTGGAGAACTCCATGGTCTGTATAGTCCATTGGGTTGCAAAGCGTCAACACGACTGAGCAACTTTCACTTTCACTCCAATAGGGGCTGGAGAAGGTGGTTTCAGTGAAGGTGACACTGGCCTCCCCCGGTGACCAGCTGGCCTCACCGCCAGCCAGCAGCCAAAGAGCAAATCTTTAGCTTCCTTTCCAAGTGCCTGCCCAACCCCTGGGCATGCCTGCCACCCCCAGTGGAAGAAAACATTCCAGGATGACTGTGGCCCCAACCCCGGCAGGAACACTGCCCAGGGCGATGGCTGGGGGGTTCCCACAGTCGTCAGGGGGAGGGGGAGGCGAGGGCAGCTTGAGGATGGGAACCCGAGGCAGCCCCGCCCACCCTCTGAGTGAGCAGGATTCAGCAGGCACTTCCCAGAGTTCGTTTATAAAAAACAGTGACGAGCACAGTCCCAATTCAGCAGACTCGCTCCCCAGAGTCGGCGGGAGCCGCAGACCCTGCTCTCTGGCTCCCTGAGGCCCAGCTGGAGTGAGCCAGCTGGTGGCCTGAGCCCCGATGTCCAGGCCCCCCAGAGCCCCACCTCTCCCTGAGGGCCTGATGCAGGCCGGCCTCTGTGCCCCACAGGCCTGGGCAGAGGGTGGGGGCCGGGCAGCTCGGCCCTGCCCTGTCAGCCCATGGGGGTCCAGACCCGCTCCCACGCCAGACCCCAGAGGCATGGGGGTGGGCGAGGCCCTGCCCTCAGAGCTTGGGGGGCTAACTCCCCCTTGCAGGGACATCGGGGGGCCTGGACCCAAGGCAGTGACAGGAAGAGATGCCCCGCTTCTGGCGGGGGATGGCTAGAAGGGACACAGTGGTGTCTGGTGGGCGGGGGGGTGTTCCTCTGTCCATCATCCAGCCAGGTCCTGCCCAGCCCCGGGCCTTGATTACTGGGCCTCCTGGGCGTCGGGCCCCGAGGGGGCCCCGTTCTCCTGGGCGGTGGGCCCCGAGGGGGCCCCGTTCTTCGGGGGGATCTTGGATATGTGGAAAAAGCGCGTCCTCATGGCCTGGTGGCAGGTGTCCAGAAGCTTGGGGACATCGGCGACAGTGAGACCACGTGTGGGGATGGCGTCCAGCACCTCCACCTGGATGGTTCCTGTGGGGGCGGGGTGGGGGCATCAGCCGCCTGGGGCCTCCCACGGGGGGCCTCCCCCCCCACCCCCGTCTTGGCCGTCTGCCAGCCTCCCGAGGGGCTGGGCTGGGCCGGGCTCTTCCCGACACCCCGGTCTCTGGCAGTTGGCTCTTAATTGCGAATCACTGACGTGGGCACACACGTGCTCTCAGGCACGTTCACAGCGGGCATGGACGAGTGTGCGCCCCCTCGTGAGGACTGGTCAGGCTCCAGAACGTTCCCTCCCCCGGGAGGCTCCGGGGCAGCCCCCTCCTGTGATCCACAGGGGTGCAGGCGGCCTCGGGGTCCAGGGTGTGGGGCAGGCAGCTTCTCCCTTGGACCCCACTTCCCACCTGGGCGCCAGGCACCCTCGCCTGGGGGTCTGGAGGGAAGGACAGAGGGAGGTCCTGAGCTCCGTGGCGGGGGGCGTCCCCGGGTGGCTGCTGCCTGAGAGTCGGGGCTGGATGCACCGGTTCGGAGCCCACCCTGGGCACAGGAAGCGCGCCCCTCAAGGGCCCCCGAGCTGTGGGCACAGCCCGGCCCATGTGTGTGGAGCTGGGCCTCCGCCCACCCCCAGGAGCCACGGCCTCGGGGCTCAAGGCGGGGCCTCCTTCCTTCTGCCCCCAGTCGCTGAGGGGCACGGCCTGGAGTGGCCCCCCCAGAAGCAGGTGTCACGGGAGATCAGGTGGGCGGGCCTGCGTGTGCACAAGGGTGTGTGTGTATGGGGGTGGGGGGCTACCTGAAGTGAAGAGCTTCGTCTTACAGCTGTAGAAGGAGGAAAAGCTGGAGTAAACCACGGGGATGATGGGTACCTGGGGACGGCAGACGCGGCAGCCTGAGGACGCAGCCCAGCCCGGCCTCGGAGCTGAGCCCCAGGGACGAGCTCGAGGGCAGAGCCCTGCCTGCCCCCATGGCCCCTGTGGCTACCCTGCCTCAGGGTGCTTCCACACACTGTCCCCGGGACACCCTTCGTGCCCTGGGTGGCCCCGAGTCCATAAACTCATCCTGAACATCTTCATTCAAGTATCCCCTCCTCCAGGAAGACTTCCTGGGTTGGCACACATCCATTTGATTCACATTCCGCATCCCCCAAGGGTCTCAAGGTGACCCAGGGCCCTGTCCAGTTTGGCCGGAGGAGGTAACTGAGGTCTTTCTGCCCATCTATTCCCAGCCTCTCCCCCGACCCCAGGGAGGAGTTGGAGGCAAATCCAGCCAGGGGAGGGGGCAGGGCCTGCCGGTTTTCCCAGAAGACACCAGGGTCAAGTCCAATGAGGACTTCAACGGTGGTTCCAGTGTCAGAAATAGCACCCGGGAGTAATCATTAACCCCGGGGCGGGGAACTGACAGGAAATACGCTGCCTAGTGTCCTGGCTGAGACTGCCCTGACCCCACCAGCCCCCAAAGCTCCGCTCTTCTCTCCCATGACCCCGGTGACCCCTTTTCCACTGCAGAGGGAAGAGATGCCAGCCCCCAGCCTATGGCGGGGGTCTCCTCCAACAAGTGCTCGGGCAGGGCGGGGATCAGAGCCCAGGCGCCTGTCCCCACTGTGGGTGGCCCGTCCACCCCTCCCTCCAGCTCCCCTACTCCCCCCCTCCCCAGCGCTGGCTGGGAGCTTCTGGAAGAAAGGCTCTCCCAGCCTTGCTCAGGGCCACCAGGGGGTGCTCGAGGCCACCTGTCCCAGGTGAAGGCTAGGAGAAAGCAGAGCCCTGCCCAGCTGCCATCCTGACCCTGCCCAGGCAGGAAGAAAGGACCCCTGCCCCGCCGGTGACTTTCCCTTCGCACAGCCCCCAGCACAGGACCAGAGGCTGAGACAGGGCCCCGAACCCCCGGGAGCCCCGCCCCACGGAGGGACACGCCCCCAGCCTCTCCCGCCATCGCCCCAGATCTCCGGGACACCTGGGACAAACTGTACCCCTTGAGGTCAAGGACCAGAGCAACGCGCAGCCCCGTGCAGGGCTCTCCGCTCACTCTGTCCTGGCCCACGTGAGCCCTGGTGCACACCCCCCTTCCCCACAGCCACTGCCAAGTCCCAAACCACGCCCCGGCAAGGGGTGCGGGGGGACTGAACGCGACCTTGGCAGAGCCCTGCCGAGACCCACCCCAGGCAGCGGGCCTTCTTTATGCCCGGCCAACGGGAAGGCGGGGTGCTGGAGCTCCGTGGGCAGGTACAGAGCTGATGAGCATCATTCCAGCTGGCCCCAGCCTTCACGCCCAGAGCGGCTAAGGGGCCCCAGGGACTGCCCTCCACGGCCGCTCACGGACAGGTGCTGCCTGTCCAGAGGCAGGGGGTCGCCGAGCGCCGGTGGCCCCAGCCAGCTGGGAGGTCACCGCCAGCCGTAGGCCAGCCTGGATGTGCTTCCCGCCCTGGCCGCTCCGGGAGGCCGCAGCCCCAACGCACCTGGGCCTGGATCGCCAGGTAGAAGGCGCCTTTCTTGAAAGGCAGAAGGTCCCCGTTGTCGTTCCGTGTGCCCTCCGGGTAGATCCACACTTTGAGCTGTCGGGGAGACAGGAGGCTGCACCCAAAAGCCGGCGGCCGCCCAGGGAGGCACCCACCCCCGGGGAGCCCCACTTCTCAGCAGAGACCGCCACCGCTGACAGCCGAGGCCCCGTGCCTGGCTCTTCTGTACGTGATTCTCAGCCACGCACCGACGAGGCGGGTTCTTCTGCTGCAGGGACTCACCCTCGGGGCCGTCCTGACACCACGATCAGCCCTAAGTGTCCACAGCGCCGGGCGCCCCAGCCCTGGGCACTCACCTTCTCCCTGACCATGCGCTCGCCCACGTCGGTGATCACGCTCATGGCCGTCTGGGAGCGCTGCCGGTTGATGAAGAGGACGCCCCCCAGGTACATGATCAGGCCCACGGGCCCCAGGAAGAGCAGCTCCCGCTTGGCGATCTGCACGCAGCGGTCGGGGAGGACCTCCATGAGGCCTGCGGGCGCCGGACGTCAGGCAGGGACAAGAGGAGACAGAGCGCAGCTCAGGGAACACTCCCCAAGGAGAGGCGGGCCAGCCCTGGCCTCGGACATCACTGGCGCTGGGCGCCGTCTGGCCTCTGAGCCTCAGCTTCCCAGCAGGGGAGGCACTGAAGCAGGGCTCCCACAGCAGAGCCCGGGGGCCCCCGCACAGGCTGCCTGGTCCCGTTACCCGCCGCAGGGAGGCGCAGGTCCCCGCCCCGTCCAGTGTCAAACCCCCGCCTGCCAGCTCAGCTGGGTCCAGCCGCCGAGTAGGAGAGCAGCCTCCCCCTACCCCCAGGCAACTGGGAAGGGTCAGCCCTCCCCCAGACCCCCACCCCGCCGCGGCCCGGCCTTACCCATCATGTCCAGGATGCTCTGGTGGTTGGAGATGATGACACAGGGGCGGTCCTCGTCCAGTATCTCACGGCCTTTGACCTCGAAGCGGAGGCCGTATGCGTACTTGAAGGACCGGACAAACGAACTGATGATGCTGCGGGGGAGATGGGCCCCGTGAGAGAGGGCCGCTGCCCCGGCGTGACTTGGGCTCTGCGTCCACAGCCTGGAGACCCCCAGCCCACCCTGGCAGGCTGGCCACTGACCCTGAGCCCGCCTCCCCCTCCGAGAGCCTTCAGGTCTTGTCCCTTAGCAGGATGGCTCCCCCTGCCCTCCAGCCCCCTGGCCTCCCAGCCAGTGACATGAAGATCACACAGAAGCAAGGCCTCAGGGACCCCAACGCCGGGCCATGGGAAGGACGCCTCCTTCCACGTCCGTGTACCCGGATCCGACCCTGTCATCCAGCCTCCACCCCCCAAGTCCTGCTTATCACGCCAGGCAGGGGGCCTGGCTGAATGGGGGTGGACTGAGAACCCCCCGGGCTGGCTAACTCTGTGCTCAGTTGCATCAGAGCCCGAAGGACCCAATGTGGAGAGGCCGCCCACAGAGGCGGCCGGGGCAGGGGGCCCCCCATGGGACATGGGACATGACCATCCCTCAAGGCAGAGCCACACCCAAGGGAGGGAAGCGTGGGTACCAAGCGGAGACCTCGGCGAGGAGCCGAGGGCTGCTTCCTGGTTCGGAAGAGCCGCTGCTGGGGAGACCGGCCCAGCAGGCACCATCAAGGTGACACGGCCTTCACGCCTCCTTGCCCTGCAAACAGCAGCCTGCCCGTTTCACTCACACACAGACACACACACAGACACACACATACACACACACTCAAGGTCACACAAGGATGCCAGGCTAGGATGTGCGTGGGCCCTGCTCCCAGCAGGAGGCTGCCCTGGGCACGCGTGACCCGGAGGGGCCTATCCCCGCATGAGGTGACGGTGATCCCTGGGGACGGCGTCTCCGGGTAGCTGGCTGGCAGGGAGAAGGTTGACGCCGCATACACTTGGCACGGGATTGGTGCCAGTGAGGGGTCAGAGCACACGGGGGGACGGAGCCCGAGGCTTGCGGTCACTCCTTTGCCGCTCCGGCAGGGCCCCTGGGTCCTTCCCACCCGTGGGTGGTGGGGGGCTGAGGGTGGGCTGCCGGTGACCCAAGAGCTTTCCACGTCCTGCCCAGGATTCCTGCACACACCCCCACCCCCACCCCCTGCTGCCAGGGAGATCCTCACAGTCCTGACCGGGAGGCAGGCCTTTTCCACTCCAGCCAGAAGGGCCTGGGCCCAGAGCTGGTTCTCAATAGAGCAGAGGCTCAGAGCTGGGCCCTTGGCCTGAAGGCAGACTCAAGTCTTTAAAAGTGTGGTTAAAATACACGCGGCACAACGTCTACCCTCTGCGAAAGGGTCTGAAACACGCCGTTCAAGTGCAGTCACGCTGTTGTGCAACTGCCCCCCCCCCCCCCNGACTTTCATCTTCTCAGATTGACGGACACGCTGTTCCCATCACACACGCACTGCCCGCCCCGGGCCCCAGCATCTACTTTCGGTCTCTGTGGCCAAGACTCCTCTGAGCCTCACACAAGTGGATCCAATCAGCTCTGCCTCTGTCTGAAAGGCAGGCTCGCATCTGGCCCACGCAGCCTCTCTCCCCTCCTCCTCCCACGGCGCAGGTAGGAGAGAGGGGCTCCGCGAGGGAGGCAGCTGAGCCCCAGCTGCTCTCACAGCCGGGCCAGCCGGTCTTGCTGGACCCGGAAGCTGGGCCGTCCTCCTTGGCGCTGAGCCTCTGCCAGCTCGAGCCAGACCTGTCCCTCTGTCCCCACCCGGCTCAGAGGTGCCCCTGGCTTGGACCCTCTCGGGAGACCTCGCCTGGCCATCTCAGCTGGGGAGCCTCGGGCTTCCCGACTGCCAAGAGACGGCTTCTCGGGTCACTGTGAGGCTTCACCGACCCAAGGAGAGGGCGCAAGCAGGCCATTCACAAACGGGAAAAACGTGCGTCGTCCAACAACACAGAAGCACGCAGTCCCACTGGCCATCAAAGGAAATGCGGATAGAAACGAGAAGCCCTGTCCTCATCCTTCAGATCGGCAGAGGACAGCCAGATAACGGGAGGTGCCGGCAGGTGTTGGGAGACGGCCCAAGGCTACCGGCAGAGGTGGGAGCCCGCAGAGGTTTCCGGAGGAGGGCAGGCTGGCAGCACCTAGCAGAGCCCTTAAGAAGCCTAGTCCCTGAGATCTGCAATCCTCTTCCGGCAACTGATCCTAAAGCTGCCAACGCACAAGAGAGGTCAAGATTAGGGAAAGTACACCTCAGCGTCCCCGTGGGGACAGCCGAGACAGATAGGGCTGCGGCAGAGGAAAGAGCAATGACCCCTATTTATTTGCTGCCAGGACGGTTCCCGGGACCTCTAATGCAAACCTGTCGCTTGCATTTCCCTGCCAAGCTCACAAAGTCCCAGGCCACGTCGGGAAAGGACAGTGGGTCTCTCTGGCACTGGTATCTACTGGCTCCATTCTTCTTCCTAAAGAGTTGTGATGAAGGACTTCCTTGCTGGTCCAGTGGTTAACAGTCCACCCTTCCAATGCAGGGAGGCCCGGGTTTGATCCCTGCTTTATTCCCTGATTGGGGAACTAAGATCCCGGATGCTACCTGACTCAACCAAAAGGAAACAAATTGTGGTGAAATATACGTAACATAAAATCTATCATTTTAAACCATTTACAAGTGTATAATGCAGTCCTCCCAAACATCCCTCTCCAGAACTTCTCTGTATTTTCTTTTTGTATCTAACTGACAGGATCAGTATTTGGGGGTGGGGGAGGATGAAAGATACTGTATATACTGTGATCTCAGTATCCTGTGATACTCAGCCTAGCAGGGGCCTCTCCCATCCCCGTTGAGGCAGACCTCCCAAGGACCAAAGGGTTCCAGAAGGGACAGACAGGCCCTGGGGGCAACTCNATTTTCTTTTTGTATCTAACTGACAGGATCAGTATTTGGGGGTGGGGGAGGATGAAAGATACTGTATATACTGTGATCTCAGTATCCTGTGATACTCAGCCTAGCAGGGGCCTCTCCCATCCCCGTTGAGGCAGACCTCCCAAGGACCAAAGGGTTCCAGAAGGGACAGACAGGCCCCGGGGGCAACTCGCTACATTTTACAAATAAGGGCACTCAAAACGAAAGGACACAGCCACCGACACAAGCACAGGAAGACAAGTACAGGAAGCCGAAAAAGAAAGGGGCATCTGGGAGCAGACAGAGCGGGCGGTGCTCCTCACAGGAAGGGGTCCGCCAGTCACTCCCTGCAGGGGGGTGGGCGCCCGGAGTCTCGCTCTTTCTCCTCCTACTGTCCCGGCTCGGCAAGGTTTTCTGAAAAAGGGGTGGGGACGCCCTACCATTCTCACAGTGTTTCCTCCAGGAGGGAGGCTGCCCAAGCCGTGCAGAGGCTCCAGGGCCCCAGCAGGGAGAGCCGGTCTGTCCTGGCCTCGAGTGCAGCTCGCTCATAACCACAGGAACGGACGCCCCACACCCACGCCCGGGAGCAGCAGCGCCACGCTACCTGCAAAGCTTGCCCGGGGACAGACGCCAACTGTCCAGTTTCGCTCAGACGGTAACCCCACAAGGTCATATACTCCTGCACCAGGGAAGTGGAGGCTCAGCAAAGCTGAGCGACTGGCCCAGAATCACACAGCGGAGAAGCCGGGATGGGCTGGAGCCCGCCCCTAAATCTGACTTTGGAAAAATGCACGGAAAATACCAGGCACAGGCCCACCTGGAGGCGGGGCGATGGCTCCAGGGCTGCCAGGTGGAGTGTTTGAGCTCCTCAGCAGGCCTCCCCTCACGCCCTGAGGGCGCTCTCTGGCCCCCACTCCACATCCAGCAGGAGGGCTCTGCACTTCTCTCCCAGCAGGAAGCTCTGAGCAGCCGCCCTCCCCAGGCAGCCAGGCCCGCCCAGCCCAGGCCTCTTCCGAGCCCAGCTGACCCCAGTGCCCCTCCCCACAGGAAGCAGGGCCCCAGCTTCGCAGCTGGAGTCACAGGTGTGGCCAGGGATGTTGGCACCCACGCCCAGCCCCAACTTCAGCCCTGCCTTTCCCGGGAGGCGGAGCCAAGGCTGCCTGAAGCTGGGTGGCCCAGCCTTCCAAAAGCGCTTGCAGGCAGCTGTGGGTGACTGGTGCCAGCTCTCCCCGCAAGGCAGGGGGGCCTGCCCCCCTTTCCAAGAGCCCACAGGGGCAGAGATCTCCGTAGCAGAGGCGCTATCCTCACCCCTCGTGGGTCTTTCTCAGGAGCCCTCCACTTAACCCTGATCTGGGCCGCTGGCCTCAAAGGAAGCGCCATAAACGTGTGGATCCTCGGGGGCCTGGGGCCGAAGCCCTGGCAGCCAGCCTCCATGGATCAGCTGCGCTCATCTGGGGACACCCGGACCCCACCCCAGCTCTGGGTCGGACAGGCCCTGACGCTCCTCTCAGGGCTGTGACCTTGGGCAACGGACTTGACCTCCCTACGTTTCTTGCTTCCACTCGTGAGACCGGAAGGTCACGGAAGGGTCGAGTCAGATGAGGCTCCAACGCCCGAGACACCTGCCGGGCTGGGGAGCCCTCCACAGACAGTGGCTCTGTTGGCGACATCACAGGCAGAAAAGAATCCAAAGTAAACGGACGAAGCCTGTCCCCCAGCCGGTACCTGCTCCTGGCCGCTGGGAGGTGGTGCAAGGTCAGGTCTCGGCTACCTGCTGACCTCTGCCCTCAGCCCGGACTCAGGCTAGGCAGCCCTGGGGAGACCTGGTCGCTACTTCGGCCAAGCGGCGTCAAGTCCTCAGCCAGACCCCGTGGGCTTTGCCCTACAACGTGGCAGGGGTGGAGGGGGGTGATTGGTGGCACTCACTCGGGAAGGCCCTGCCAGGAGGGCGGGCACACAGAGCCATCAGTCTGCTCAGGGGACCAGAAGCCTCAGCGAGGCCGCCTGGCAGGCAGCGGCCTTTCCCAAGCGTCAGATGAGCCGGAACACAGGGTGGGCAGGAGCTGGGGGTGCTAGCCTCTGAGGGTGCCCAGAGGCGCTAAGGGGGCTCAGGAGTGGGGTGGAGGCCAGAGGCCTGGAAGGAGGTGGGGCCCAAGCAGTGTCCAGATCTCGGGAGCGCTGCTTCCGGGCCTGCCCCCACCATCCCACCCCAAGACCAGGGCCCCAGGCCCTGGCTGCAGCCATGCCCATCCTCAATGTGTGGGGGCTCCACCGACCCAGAGCCTCACTCTCCTGCCCCCTACTCTGCAGCCTAGCTGTGGTCCCAGCTGCCCGTCCTGGTCACCTGGAACGTGTGAGAAAGGAAACTCTGTGTTAAGGTGCTGTTATCTGGTTTCCTGGTCCTACAGACAAAGCCAGTTCTAATACGGCTAATCCCGGGCCTCGCTCTCTGCCCAGCGGGTATGATAAGGGCACCTGCCCCCAGGGTGAGGACCCAGCCTCCCCTGGCAGCCAGCCTGGGAGAGGGTCCCTGGCCTCAGCCCCAGCGTGCTTGCAACAGAGCCTGCCTCTGGTCCTCCGCGCCCAGCGCTGCCCAGCACGCTCGAAATTCACAACTCAGTGGCAAAGGCCTCCTTGGCTGCCCCATCAGAGAAGGGCTGCTGGTTACAGGGAAGACGGGAAAGCGAGGGGGTGGGTGGAGCTGGGCTGTCCCTCCTGGAACTGAGGACTTCCCCTGAGCCTGGTCTCCAGCCCCAAAGCGGTCAAGGTGCTGCCCCCAGCCCCGATGCTGGGTGAGACAGAGGAAAGATGAAAAAGACCCACCTTGAAGTCACCCTCAGGGTCTGCAGCCCAGGTCTGCCGTGTCCTAGACCTAGGGCCTGCCAGTTGCCTCCCCACCCACCCCCACCATCCCCCAGAAACATGAGTTTCAAGCTGCTTCTCTGCAGACTCATCTGTAAAATGGGACTAGGAACAAGCCCTCTCCCTAAGGATGAAGCAACCACCAGTGCATGGGGGGGTGCAAGGCAAAATTGATGGGCAGGGTCCTTTCCGGAAGTCAGGGTTAAACTGGAGTGGGGGCGGGGGGGCAGCCAGGCGCCCACACAGTCCCAGCCCAGGAGGGGCCTGAAATGAGGGATCCTGTCCACATGGCCCCCAACCTCACCTGTCCTCGGGGGCCTGTCCCTGGAGGGACACAGCGCCTCCACGACCTCTGCATTTCTCAGCCCTCCACGGCCGCGTCCCTTGGAGAACTCGTGTTCACAAGGGACCCTCCTCTCTGCCGTCACTGGGGAGCCGTGGGTGTCCTCCCAACGACCCACCCTGTGGGACCCGGGGCTGCAGGGGAAGGGGGCTGTGGGTTCCCAGACCCCCAGGCCTGCCTCTCTCTGGGGAGGACGCGGCACCTCCGTTATATCCTGGATTGAGCCTGAGTTGGGGACTGTCCCGGGGAGGGAGGCTCCCTCCTGAGCACCTCAGGAGCACGCCCTGGCGGGCCCAAATCTCCTGCGAGGCTGGGGGCCAAGCTGGGCTCCTGGGCTCGGGGAACAAGCCCGAGAGAGCAGAGGCCATGGGGCCGGCCAGGCCTGGGGTGCCGCGTGCTGGTCAGGCCGGCCTGCCAGATCCACCACCTGGTCAGAAAGGGTGGCTGTGACTTCCAGTCTGACCCCGGGGAAGCAGCTTTCAAGCTCAGGCCTGGAAGAGCGAGTTGGACCTTTTAAAGACAAGGCCACCTGGCAACACAGAGCCAGGGAGAGAAAGGGTGACCGCTGGGAACGCCTGATGAAAACCTGCTCCAGGACTCGCGTCCCACCCGCACGCAACACAAGCCAGGCTCAGGGCCCCTCCTGCCTCAGAAACAGACGCTCCACCCTCGGTCCTGGCTGTGGGGGGGGCAGCTGCCCCTCCAAGGAGCCCACCAGCCCTTGCTGCCGGAAACCACCCCCTGCCCTGCTCCTGGCTGGCCCCCAGCAGGTGCGGAACAACGGACACGGGCTGTGAGCCCACTGTCTGCAGGGGGGTCCCAGGGCCTCAAACTTAGGCCAGCATCCCTGCCGGCAGGGCCTAGCTCTGAGGAACCCCCTATTTCTAGATACAGGCCCTCCCCATCCCAGAGAGCTGACTGCTTGGGAAGACAGCTGGAAAGGCAACAAGTGGGCCACCCCTGTGATCTCTGCTCCCTGGGTCGCTGCCCTGGGCCACGTGGGGAGGGGGCACTAGAGACTCATTGCCCACCCACCAGGCTTCCCCACTCTTAGTCCTCACGCCCACTTCTGGGGCGGCAGGAGCCACATATCCCTGAAAACAGCCGGGAAGAACTGTACAGAGGAGGTCAGTCCTGGCAGCGTCAGCCCGCCCGGATGGACAAGGCAAGGAAGGGCAGAAAGCCAGGACCCCTCACCCCCTGCCCTGTGAGCGCTGGGGTGGTGGGGGCCCTAGGGACCACAGTATTCCCACCCCAGGCCACAGCCAAAAGGTCATCATTGCCAAAGCCACAGGGTGGCATGTTAGCAGCGGCCCCTCCTCATGGGAATCTGGGGGCAAGGCCACGGAGCCCCTCTCGGGCCACCATGCACCACCGCCCCCAACCCCCACCTCTGCCCGGGAGAGGTCTCCAACTCTTCCTGTCAGCCAAGCCTGACCCCCACCACAGCAAGCTCCCCAACCCCAGGGATGGGGGGGACACCCTAGCCACCACCGCGTTCTTTCCCCTGGCTCAAAGCTGGACCCCAAGGGCCAGCAGTCCCCGCCCCACCTGCCCGGGCTGGAGCCACCACACCTTCCTAAGCGGAAGGGAGGGGAGGAGCACACGTGCGCTCCTCGCCTGACAGGTGGGCGGGCGGGGTGGCGGCGAGGGGACTGAGACCCTGGCGCGGCGGTGCCCGGCGGCTAGCCCCCACCCCCGCCACGGGGAAGCGGCACCGAGCCTCTGCCCGCCCGGCCCGGCCGCATTCCTCCCGGAGCCGCCGGCACCCTGCGCGGCGCCGAGGGCCAGACCTCTAGAAAGCCCTCCGTGCCGGCCCGTGGCCGGAGCCCCGGGGCAAGGGCGCGGGGACACGATGACGCGGGCTCCGGAGGCCGCAGCCCACCCACCACCACCCTCCGGCGCGCTCCCCGACCCGCTCTCCCCTCGGGCGTCTCCCCACCACTCCCGGAGCTCTCCCCGAGAGCTCCCCCCACCACTCCCGGAGCCCGGGAGAGGCAGGCGCGGCAGGAAGGAGGGANCCGCAGGCCCCCACCTCCGGTCCGGCCCCCCCCACTGCCCGCAACCGCCGGCACCGCCCCTGAGCCCGGACCGCGACGGCGCGTGCCAGCCCGGTCACGGCACAAAGGGACCCTTGAGCCGCGCACGGTGACCGGACGGGTGGCCTGCCCCTTCGGGTCCCCTCCGGCGACTGTGGGGAGACCCAGGCCTGGGGGGAGGGGTGGTCTGAGGACAGCTGGGCAGGCAGGAGGCCAGTCTCTGGGCGGGCCGGGGCCGGACAGTGGGAGCCAGGGCCAGCGGCTTATCTCCTGCTCCAGGTGCCCGGCCTGCCCGGGGATCCGGCGGCTGTGGTCAACTCAAGCAGGGGGCCAGCCTGGCAGGGCAATGGCGTGGCCGGAGGAGCTCCAGGTCACCCCTGGGGGGCCGTCAACAGATCTCAGAGCAGACCCAGGTTGTAACACCGAGTTCCCGTCACGCACAAGCGCCCTCCACTGTGGCCCCGGGCCTGGGTTTGCGACCATTGACCAGTGGCCTCATGTGGAGCCTGGAGGCCTTCAAAAGCTTGTTGTCGGCCTCTGCCCTGTTTCAGATGCTGGGGCGTGTATGGCTGAAATACTTTGCTGAAGCCCCCAAACTGCTGTTTTGGGTGACAAGCACAAAATCTCCCATCACAGGGTGACTAGGGGGCGTCAGGCCCATAGGGACGAGGGCTTCCCTGTGGAGAATGGAGGATCCTGGGCACAGGTGTTCTCACTTTTCACGAGAGGGGAGCGTCCCTTCCCCTGGGCTACACCCGTGCGTGTTTCACAGTAAAGCCCGTGGCCCAAGCCCCTCTGGACAGGGAAGCCTCGCTGGCTGAAGGCCGTGGGGCGGCAAGAGCTGGACGCGACTGAGCAGCCGAGCAGCTGAACAGAAGCAAACACCTCCGGCCGTCTGCGTCAAGTCCACGAGCGGCTCTTTCCGCCCTTGGGGGAGGCCCGAGAGTGCGCCCCCACCCCGGGGAGGAGAGCGGAGCGCGGGCACTGTGCCCACACTGGCCATGGGGCTGACAGACCACAGCGAGACTGGGAAGAGAAGCTTTTGGGGGGGTCAGGTGGGCCCAGGACCGCCAGCGGAGCTGCGGGGTCCCCAGTTCCTCAGCTGGAGGCCCCAGGGGGCTCTTGCTGAGGCGTGAATCCTGTCCTCAGACCCCCCGCCGCAGACAGCGCTGCTTTGCCCGAGGTCCTGTAGCTGCCAGCCGCCAGCACTGCCAAGGCGGCACCGCCCGCCCCTCGGATGCCTTCCCCGCCTCACTCTTCCCAGCGATTCCCATGACTCAGTCACGCGTTTATGGGTTCCTGTGTTCACCGCCCTTCTCCCCCACCTCCCCGGGTGCTCTGCTGACGCCCGAACGGGGCCTGGCCAGGAGGAGCCGCCCCGCGAGCAGCCTCCAGGACCAGCGCTCCTCCACTTGACAGAGGTGACGGGGCGAGGCCAGCTGAGCCCCGTAACCCCACCCTCTGCCCCTGGCCCGCTGCCCTGGCCGGCTCCCAGGCACGGTGGTTCCGGAGGCCACTGTTTGTCTCCAGACAGATGGAGGGGCTGTGCCTCAATTTTGACCTTCTTCCCCAGTTCCTTGCTCCTCTGGGGAAATGTGGAAACAAAGTGTCCACTTTTGCCTCTGATCTGGAACAGGGGGGACAGGGGAGGCCTCAGACTCCACTGGGTCTGAGACACATATTCAGTATTCTCCTGTGAAAGGAACTCTTTTTGTTTCTAGAAGGTGAGTCACCAGAGGATCCTCTGGGTCGGTGGAGACCCTGAGATGAGGTGTTTTCCTCTAAAATTAGCGTGCCCTCAGGGAGCACTAGTTTGAGGGGCGGGGTGTGCCAGCATCCTTCGTGACCCTCTCGGGGTGCCCCACGTCCCCGCAAGCACCCAGGGAAGGTGCCCGGTTCATAATAAGTCAGCAGCCCCAGCCCTGGCTGGGTGACAGCTGAGAGGCCTCCTGGCGTCTGCCGGGGGCCCAGCCGAGCCGCACGTGACACCAGGTGACCATCTGGCCTAAACCGGCCCTGCCGTGGGGGTCGGCGGCGGGTGGTGCTGGGCCTGACGACCCACCTGCTCGTCCAGTCCCGGCCTCAGGGGTGGGACTCTGAGGTCTCTGGGTTGGCCTTGGCTTGGGTGGGGCCTCCGGAGGGAAGGGCCAGGCCTCTGCGTGTCTGAAGGCCGATAGCGACATCTTTGAGTTCCAGACAGATGGCTAAGCTCCAAGCTCCCCGAGCCTCCGTCTCCTCCTCGGGGCCCTTCTCCAGGCCTCTCCCAACTCTGCCTCTGGCACCAGGAGATGGATTCCTCTCCCTTCAAACCTGCCCAGAAAAAAATAAAGCCAGGATGCAGGAGCCAGGAGGGGACAAAGGCTCCGAGTCACAGGAGATCAGGGGCAGCGTGGAGTGGGGTGCAGGGCACCCGGTCGGGGGCACCGGGAGGAGCCCCCCCGGGGAGCATCTCCGGGGGGCCGGCCCTCCTAGGGAGAAGCTCTTTGGGAGGAAGGCAGGCGGGGAGAGCCCAGCCCGGCCTGTGGAAGGAGGTGCCNGCTGGAGAGCCGAGGGCCTCGACCCCTGCCCCGCCCCGCCCCTGGCCAGCTCTGTACAAAGGTGGCGGCCCCCAAGCTCGGCCTGTCACGGCCACGACACTCACGTCCGAGTTCCAAGCTCAGGTGGGAGCGGGGACCTTGGCATGAGAGGGACTGAAGGCAGAAAGCATCAAGGAGAGGCTGCCCCAAGGGTCGAGGCAGCCTCCCTGCCCCTGACATCAGCTGGTACCCCGGTCTCTGCTGGATACCCTGCCTGGAGATGGCCTCCCCCTGCCGTCCACGGGACAGACAGGGGCCCAGAAGGGCAAGAGAGCACCTGGGGGCCCCTGGCCAGCAAAATGGAGCAGGAGACAGGCTCTGGTGCCCGGGGTCAGCCCCCGGGGATAACTGCAAACCAGCCATGCCTCTGGGCTTCACCGTGCTCAGCCGGGCGTGGGGCCCAGAGCAGGCCTGGGGCACTGGCCACGAAGGGGGACAGATGGCGTGAGGTGCCAGGCCCACCCTTGGGCAGCCGCCCTCGGTTACCTCACCCCTGACCCAGCTGGCATCCAGACTCCGTCAGCTGCCCCGGCGCTGCCCAGGCCAGCCCGGAGGACTGGAGAGGGCTCTCGGCCCAGTGGGCTGCCTGCTGCCTGACGCCACTCAGTCCTGGCCTCAGCCACGGACCAGAGGGCTGCCTCTCGGCCGTGGGGCCTTGGCGGTGCCTGGGGCCTCTTGTCCCACCTCCGTGAACCCCTAGAGAAGCCCTCCCCGTCACAGGGTGGGGGACGTCCCCTCCACTGTGGAGGCTGG